TCGCCAAGGTACAGGATAGTTCTAGAAACGTGGCGTCACACTAGTCATGTGACTCGCTGACGCAACAATATGTTAAAGCTTATTTTGTGGAGTATAGAAAGACTATAGTGTATTGGATGAAATTTGATATTTGTAGTGGTCGTTTGATAATGCTATAAAAACAGAAAATCAATATAATTGTAAATACTATTACTATTAAAGACAATATACACTTGTTTAAATAATTCTTCTCCACAAGGCAAAGATATAAAGTCGTCAATATATTCAAATATTACGAGGATATCACAAGAACATAGTACACAATATCACAGTAATTGTTAAACTAGTTAGGCCTAAACAATATACCGATTCTACCAGTTAGTAACTTTTTGGTAGCCATAAAATCAAGCTATTAAAATAGCAAATTTTAATTTTACTTCTTCATTAAAATTAAAACATAAGTTCGATTAAATTCAAAAAACTATGTTGTTGGTTTGAATTATGTTCATCGTTCTTCTAGTGATATTTTACCTTAGATAAAAGTAATTTTTGAACCTTAATGTTAAAAAAATTATTAATTAAAACTTTATTCTAATTACCGCAAAGTATTATATACATTTTTATGAGTATATGTTGCTTAGCCGAAAATGTACGACACTTTGAATCGGCGAGGGAACTACTCATCAAATGATGGTAAATATCAGTATTTTTACCTCTAAGAAACGTTGTATAACAAATCAGTAAACACTTCATGAGTATAAACATTCCAAATATAAGACAAACAGATATTTATCTTTTGCCATGTATTTTAATGACTTCGGCGAATGTTTAGTGAAACTTCTGCGTCTGTTTTATTTTACATGATTAGAAACGTTTTCTGTTTTTTTAAATAATAAATTAATTAGATGGTTAAAGAGCGACGTCAATATAACTGTATCTCTATATTAATATTATGATACAAAAGTATAATTTTAATTTGTAAGATTACTTTTCTATTATTATTTAGTATTGTTAGTAGAAAGTATTTCCTGTCTAGTTATTTAGTAAAGTTGAGGTGAAGTAACTTCTGAATTACCGTTAAAAGCCTAAGCTTGTGAAAGCTGTTGAATTGTGATAAAACACTATGATGGATTGCAATTTGTTTTGTTTTTCAAACAATATGTTTATAAGAGCTCCGGTTGCTTAAAGACTTCTGTACACAACTGTGCACGTATTATTCTTCTATAGATTGTTAGCTGTACGTTGTATTCGTTATATATACATGGAACATACATTAAAAAAACAGAGGCATGGAAATATTCCTATTACAACAATACCCATATTTGTAATTATTTCAGGCGGATGTTCTCTGGTATTTAACGTAGTAGGCTGAACATCGAAAGGTTCAAGATTCGAGCCAATGATATGTCGCTGACACTCTACACTTTCCAGCTATAAGCGCGTTATAAAACGTGACTGTCAATCCAGCTATTCGGTTAATTAAGAGTAGCCTTATAGTAAATGGTGCTGCTGATTAGTTGTATTCCTTGTCGTTGATAGTTCAAAATTAGAGATGGTGAAGACTATGCCTGAACCTTCGGGTCTCTGACTTGGTCCTTTAGACCGCCGTTCACGTTGAAAATACTGTTACGTCTCCGTTTGTTAATTAACTTTCCGTAACTTCGTTCCGACGAAACTTGCGACACAAGTTCTTTACTTAATAAAATTGATTTATTCTTTCCGAATATAACTTTACCGATACACTCAACTTCAACAATCGCGTTAAAACAAACGCTAATCAACGAACGTCAACAATACTTCCGACTGCAGTTCAGTTACTCACTATCTATCTACACATTACAATAAACATTACCGCGTCACGTTTTCCCCTCTTATATATACCAGCCTACCCTACTAGTAAATACTAGAGCATTCGCCAAAGTACATGATAGTTCTAGAAACGTTGCGTCACTGTAGTCATGTGACTCGCTGACGCAACAATACCATATGTCGTTATTTCATTCGTAAAGTAAAATATGTAAAACAATAGTATGTGTGATTTCCTCAAGTATTTGTATAGAGTTAGGAGTTTTATATATCTATAAATACCATATGTTCTTTGGTTTAATTTTTACTTCAGTTGTTAAAATCTTAAAATGCTGTAAAACAGGGGTAGTTAAAGTACAAGATAGTTTTAAATTTCATTGTTTTGAACAATGAAAAAAAATATTTATTCCTTCTTGAATAAGGAAGTGACTGTAAAAGACTTTTGTAATAAAGTGACCATGTTATAACGGTCTGAAATAAGATGCCACTACAACCAGAGTTCAAAAACAATAAAAAACAATTTATTAAACTGAAACAACTCTTGGAATAAACTTTAGCACTTACCAAAACACTGTTAATAAACATGTGCCTGGCTAGGACTTAATATTAATGTTAATGAACAATAAAACATAAATATCAATATTAATTATTTCAAATGATAGAATCAGGAAAAAGAACCAGAAGAAGAAAAACCTAATTCCCCCCCAAAAAAACACAATATTCCAAAATCACCTTTCTATATCAATAACAATATTGAGTGACAAACAGCAATGATTCACTAACTATATCGTGACTCAGTTTATGAAGCTTCTGACAGGGCATTTATTGACTGCTTAGGTTACGAGAGTACATCTCATATGATCATAAATTTACAGAATCTTTTGCTACATTAATAATATCTTTACATCACCGCTAGGGAAGTAGGTGTCAGTTTTATAATCCACACATATTCACTCAAAATATACGTGATCAGCTAGAAGGTGAGTTAGCATTTTAATGTAACTAAAAATTCATAAACTAAACGCTAGAAGGAATAATAATTAATGATAAACAACACCATAACCAATAATATAGAATTTTCTATCTCGCAAAGTGTCCTAAGAAGGATTTCAAAATGTTCTTAACATCAGTTCCTCCTTCAAACTCATGTAAATAATCGGTACATAACGAAGCAAGTGTTGGTGGCTTCAAGAATTCTGTGATATTAACTCAGTAAAACTCTCTATAAGCTAATACACATGGAAATAAATGTAGTTGCTTTCTCTATTATTACTAGTTTAGTTAGGCAAGTATATTAGACGTGCTTGTGTCAGTTATGCGTATCCAAATAGCATGATAAAAAGTTGAAATTAAATTATTGTTAATAGACAAGTCTACGGGTAGGCAACTAACTAGTGAATCCGAAAACTATCAATTCCGTTTTCCTTAGTTTTGTTGGAAGTAATAATGTAAACTAAAACTAGAAAAGTATTTAATTTTCCGAATATGGTGTTTTTTATGCATTCGTTTTATTGAAACTATTTTGTTCTATATCAAGTAAGAAATACATAAGTAAATATATATATATGTGAACTGAATAGATAAATCTCCAACAGATGCTTTGTTGTAACTGGTTGACATGAAATTGTATCATTTTACTTAATATGTACAGTAATGTGTAGCTATTGTAGACAAGATTGTTAATAAAGTTTACTTCTGATGAGGAATATTTGAAAACCCCACTGTTTCAAGTTTTAACAGTCACGTTATAAAGTGCGAGCCACAGTGAATCTC